TATGGGTTTTCTTTTTTTTTTTTTTTTTTTTTTTTTTGCAAGCTACGAAGTTTATTGGTAGAATAGAAAATTCCGGAAGTGAACCAAAAATTATCTATGTAGTCTCTTGTAGGCAACGAACAGTGACGTTTCGTGAAAATCTGACGGATTTCTAAAGATATCGACAAATTATCTTTACGAGTTTTTTATAGGCTACGAAGATTATTTGTAGAATAGAAAATTGTTGAGATGCCCAAAAATTATCTCTGTTGGTCTTTCGTGGGCTACGAATTGCATTTTTGGAGCTATCCGCAAATTAGATTTTATTAGATCGGGTTAATTCTCTTCGTTCAGCTAGAAAGTTCATTTCACAGAAAATAGGATGTAGAATATTGGAATGTTTGAGAATAATAGGATATGGGATAGAAGGAGATGGGATTAGAATATAGGATATGAGACGTGACATGTGGAATGTAGGACGTGGGATGTAAAACGTTGTGTAGAATTTAGAATACAAGACATAGAATGTAAGATATATGGAATATAGAATGTAAGACACAGGAATATAGAACGTGAAGAATGATACGTGTAATACTCACCTGTAAATGCAAAAATGCAGAAATAGTCACTTCAGATTTAGAAAGGCAAATACACGAAATAATAAAACGAATAAACGAATATCTCATTCACAGAGTGATTGATAAAAAAAAATCGCCTCGGACACGATTCTCCCGTATAAAATTCGAGCAACTCGGACTCCGCCCCGAAAATTTCTAAAGTTCACCGAGTTCAATACCGTAACAGCATAATCACGGATTCCGGTTAATGTCAGGGAACTCTTATCGTATATAGAATTCAGGTTATGCAAGATGCATAACAGCGCGTGCAAGCCAAGCTGGGAGTGCTCTTCCTTTCGATTTCTCATTGGACGACGCCCACTGTATCTGCTTGCTTATTTACCTACATTCGAGCATGAGTAATCCAGCACGCTGTAGTCGTAGTGTGGGATGACAGAATAAGAGCGTGGTGTGCCCACGTGACTTATTAGAGAAAATTACGTCTCCTTTCTTTCACAATTACTTTGTCGACCTGGAATAGAATCGTCGGCGATGACTATACCTGCGTGCTGAAATCGGGTCGGAATTATCCGAAAATAATGTAAAAATGAGAGTGAAAGGTGAATGCTTGATGATATAATTTCTACTATTGTTCTGTCCTACTTGTTATTAATTTTGCGCCTAAAGTAGATAAAATAGTATTTTATGCCAGTGGAAAAATTCTCGCCCATTAAAAGACTAGTGTCAGCAACCTAACACCGTCGAATCCAAAGATTCATGTTTCGAAACTCCATCGACAGTTGAGCTGATCACAGGTGCATCTAAACGGACCCGATCAATGTAAATCTCGTTAAGGAACGAGAACTGCCGTGGCGACTTTTCTTCGACCCTAAAAACCTAATGCATTCCTCGTCGAGCTCGAACGGACACGTCCTTGGTGGCACCAGCGTCTGGGATAAGTTGGAAGGCGAATTGTACCTTACCTATCGGGTAGGTAGCAGACGCCGTTTGTTTGTCGATCGTTTTCGAGATCGGGATCTAGGTGCATGGTTATCGAGACGATCGCGCGTAATTGACTGTATTTCAGTATTGAACGAACATTGAAATGGACGGCTGCCCGCTAAGGGAAGTGAACGTTTGGGGCGTGGAAGGTCGAGATCTGCTCGCGAGCTCGGCCAGGTAGCCGAGAGATTAGGCTAGATCGGAAGGATCGATTTTGAGAGACAGGGAAGATTGAATCCATTGAGAAAGTATGAAAATTAATATTCTCGGGATTAGCACCATTGAGCTTTCAACGGGCCGATTTTCAGTAGATTGTGCTTGAATTATGAGTCAGTAGGTATCGAGTTGCTGCTGGACGACAGGAAAATGATGGAAGATTGAATCCATCGAGAATTAACGTTGGAAAGTATGAAAATTGTAGGCACCGCTGTAAATTTAATATTCAAGGAATTAGAATTTTCTTATAAATACTTTTAACGTTGAATAGTATTTTCAGTGGATTCGGTAGATCAGCGTGAATTACAGATCAATGAGTATCGAGTTGAAGTTTAGAATGGCGGAAGAAATTAGAATTTTGTTACAGTTCTTCTCAACATTTAAATATTATTATTATTATTTTTCCATTTATCCTTACAAATTATTATTATTATTATTATTTTCTCGAAATTGACGTTATTAATTCCATAGTGGAGGATGA